ATATATATATATATCTGTCTCTCAGTTGTGTTAATTTTGTCAGTTCACCTTTGCAAAAGACAGATTTGTGATATAATTCTCTTGATTAGGCTGAAGATTTCCTGACTGCACAAGGCTTTTGGGTGTGTCATGGCTACTGCTGTTGGCCATCTGAAATTCATTGCTATTTCAAAAAAGAAGATACTCAAGGAAAGAAACCCTAATCCCACTGGAATAAATTGCACTATTTTCCTTAAATTACATTCCACTTTATATCTGATTAGTCACCAGAATGTGTTTTACCTATACTTTTAAGTATTTTAGAGGAGAAAATGGAAAGGATTGTCAGGAATATCTTCAGTAATTTTTTTCGTGCAGTTGATATTTAGGTAAACAGTCACCTCTTTTCTAGCTATCCAGATTTTTATGCCTTTTTCCAAGCAACCTACATGATTTTATTATCATTTGTCAGAGAAAATATCTCTTTTCCTTTCTCCTATTCTTCTTTCTCCAAGTGGAAAATGATGCAACTTCTAAGTCAATGTCAGGTTTTTGTCTTCTCTGTAATCTATGTTATTGAAAGCCAAGTGAAGAAATAATACCTTACACCTGGAATGGAAATCACTAATCTGGGGTGTTTGTTGTATAGCCAGGGACCATCTCATGGAGAAACCTCTTTGTCAGTACAGGTAACTTCTAATCCTTCTTATGGGATGCTTCTGTTCAAAATGAGAAATTTATCCATGACTTCAGACAATAATTACATTTTCTGGACCTTTGTTACTACACAGTTTGAAGTCAATGCAGTCATTTAAGTTTTAATTCCTGCTTTATGAAATACATAATTTTGATAAAAGGCTTCAAAATAAATAATTCATCATTATCAAATTTTTGTCTGCTAAAGAGATATTTCTTCCAAACAATGCAAATTACTAGAAATAGCATAAACAGGAAGGCATAATAAGTATCACAACTAGTAGAACTCCTATTTAAAGCTTCCTACAGGGTATTAGTGCTCACTTCTGGAAAGTGACAACAGTATCCCTTCCAATTTCATGATCTATACAACATTGTCATCAGAAGAGTGTTTCTCCCACTGTTGTTATTTTTAGTCAGATTTAACTTTTGTCCCTTTGCCTGACATAGTTTTCAATTTCTTCACGCACATAGCACAGCCATTGCTTGAAACAAATTTTGAACCACAAATTAGACTATAACCAGGTAGACAAAAGCAGGCCAGCTGAGAACTAAATAAGGACAATATGAGTATTCATTATTTATAATGAATAGCTTGATTTTCAGATGTCTTTAGACAGAGATTCATTCTGCTTTCAGAAGAAATTATGGTTATGAACTGGAGACTGAATCTAAACATTTTAACAGGTGATAGGAAACTGATGGGGGTAAGAACTTTGTAGGTTACATGTATGCATATATCCCTGTGTAGTATGTATGTGGCTGTGTATGAAAACACACAAATTAATTTTCTTTCAGCTTCTCAGTGGTATAGACTGAAAACAATTTTTAAAGTGTAGTAGAACTGTTCTGGACACGTTGCTACATAAATAAATCTTTTTACATAGTCATCCCAAACTGCACTTGTTGGCCATGCATTGAGTGGAAAAAGCCACAGCCTCTGTTTCTGCGAGTTTCCAAGTTGGTTTCAAAATAAAAGGGTAAATATGATATAGGTATTTCTTGTTATGGGTACAGAATTAAACCTATGCATTTAATTCACATTTTGCTGTAAAATAAAAGCAGAGGAGACAGCAGCTGCAGCATGTATTCTGCAAGACAAGAATAAGCATTTGTTTTATTTATAGGAGTTATTCGCTTTACCTGAAGTGTGCTTCAATTACAGCTTGAAGTGTTTTTCCTGTTACCTGTGAGTCAGATCTGTTGTTGAGACTTCTGTTAGCC